TACTGGCAGGGCATGACGAACACAATTGCGCGCTTTACCAACAACTGTCTAACCTGTAAACGCTCTAAGGTTAACCGCACCGCCAAACATAGTTTGCTTCACCCGCTGCCTGTCCCTACTCAGTACTGGGATGACATATCCATCGACTTCATCACCCCACTGCCTAAGTCAACCTGGTGTGGTCACTCTTACCAACACATCATGGTCGTGGTTGACCGTCTATCAAAAATGAAGAAGTTCATTGCAATGGAAAACCTAGAGGTGCCTACAGTCGTTGACAAGTTTATGGAATACATCTGGAAAGAGGAAGGATACCCAAGGACTCTTGTATCAGATCGGGGCCGCCAATTCACGTCACATTTCTGGAATCGCCTGTGTGCCCAGGTGGGAACGCACCCTAAACTCTCTACCTCCCATCACCCAGAAACCGACGGTCAGACCGAGAATGCAAACGCCGATCTCAAACAATACCTAAGGGCGTACGTTAACTACCTACAGACGGATTGGGCCCAGCTATTGCCTTTAGCAGAATTTGAAGCCAATTCGGCCATTAGCACAGCTACCGGGTTATCTCCGTTCCTCGCCACAAAGGGACGCCAACCGCGATCTGGACTGGAGCCCGCTCACCTTCTGCGCCCCCTTAACAACCACCCTACTATCGCCCAACAGCAACGGAACGCTGATGCCCTCGCCCAGCGCATTGACACAACGCGCACCTTCCTGCGACAACAAATCCTATGGGCTCAAGACAAGATGAAAGAGTTCGCAGACGCGAACCGATACCCAGCACCACGGTTCGACGTGGGTGACTGGGTGATGCTGAACGCCCGCCACATTAAAACCGAAAGACCAGTTAAGTCACTAGACCACAAGAATATAGGGCCATACCAGATCACTCGGGTCATTGACAACATGGCCTACGAACTAGACCTCCCTCCTCAGCTTAAAGCTATCTTCCCAGCCTTCCACCCATGGCTCCTACAACCGTACGAGGACGACGCCTTACCCGGACAACCTCGTCCAGGCGATGCCGCTCCCCCCGAAGTCCACCTTGGCAACGATGGAGTCACAGAATACGTGGTCTCCCAAGTCCTAGACTCTCGCATACGACGCAATCTCGTCGACCCTCACACAGGTGAGCGTGGATTGCTGCAATACAAGGTGGAATGGGTGGGCGACGATCAGTCAGAGCCATGGCAGCCCTACCATAACCTGCGCAGCTGTAAAGAGTCAGTCCAGGACTTTCACAGCCGCAACCCTGGCCGACCAGGACCACACGCCACATTTCATGACTACGATGACGACGGACAGCTCGCTATAGCCCTGCTCCAGCTACTAGATAGCAAGTACTCAAATAAGTTTGCGCCTCAGTCGGAACTTTGAGCGCTTTTCGGGGGGGGACGTGTGATGGTTTTGGGCCGTTGCCCCGCACAGGCCACCTGCCAGATGCCTTAGCGTTGTTTTGATGTTCGCGCACGAGCCACCTGTTTGGTGGCCCATGCACACCCCCACTTAGATATATTCCGCGCAGAGCTTCTTACAAGCTCTGCACTGCAATTACTTTGTAATTCAACACAGTTTCAAATACCTGACCTATGTGAGACCCTTACAAAAACAATCCGACAAAAACAAGCTACTATCCACTTACTGTGGGCACCTGGACACACAGACATAGTAGGGAATAAAAGAGCGGACTATCTTGCAAAAGAAGCTGCTAAAGAAGTCCTACAATTATCAACAAAAAGCATTGCCTACCTAGGCACTGTTATTAAAAAGATCGAACAAACCGAACAATGCCAAGAGTACTAAAAATACAAAACAAGAGCAACTAATCTAAACAAAAAGACCTACTTAGCAAAATTCCTACTCAAAATCCGAAAAATAATCCAAATACCACGCAGCACTAATCGAGAAATCTCTAGCGCCTTCTATGCTCTCAAAATAGGACACGGATACTTTGGGTCCTATTTAAAGAGATTCAAGAAAAGAGAATCCGACCTCTGCAGTTGCTCGCACACCCAAACACCAGAGCACCTACTTTTACAATGCTCTCTATACAAAACAGAAAGAAAAACTCTTATACAAGCAATTCATCACTAACTAGCGACTCTACTACTACTTCTCTATACTAGCGCTGGTATAGAAGCTACTTTAGCTTTTATTACTAGCACTAGAATCGGAACAAGAAAATAATACCAAGGACAGCTACTAGACGACACACAGAGAGACACTGTATAAAACTAAAAAACACTGCCTTCCCCTTTGCCATAAGAGCCCGCTGCTACATCTCTTTCTATTCACCAAGGGACACTTGGTGGCAGGATAAGAGCAGTAGGCTATCAGCATGGTACACGCAATGGCAGCTGCCATACGATACTAGGCGCACGCCCGCAGCGCTATGGCTACCCCGAAGGATACTCGCGAAAGTCCTTATGATACGCTCAACGCATGGCGACTTTGAATGGTACCACCGAAAATTCAACCACGAGGATACCTCGAAATGCCTATGCGGCAGGCCCAAGACGCCAGAACACCTAGTGTTCTGCAAGAGAGCCACAACACACTTCAAGAAGTGGCCTCTACGCCCCATCGTGCCCCCTCGCACAAGACAGGAAGGCCTAGCGTACCTCGCGCAATTAATAGACCAGCCACAAGAGTTCGAGACCTTCGTTAAGGTAACGAACTCCTTCTATAACGAGTGATTTCTATTTTTGAATTTCACAAAGACCCGCTGAATTCCTTGGCATTATTCAGTGTAGGATTCGCGGCAGAACGCCGCATAGATGCCACAACCCACACGCTCTCTTTCAAACTTTTCATTATATCTCAAACTGCCTCTTGTTACTTTTTCGTTTCTCTCTCTAAAAAGCAGTCATTGTACTGCATCGATCAAAGGCGCAAGCCACGAAATACTAGAATATTGTAGGAAAACGGCTTCAAATGGCGGCACAGTCCGCAACAATCAATTAAGTGGGTCCTAGAAGGTTCAGATTGGATTGATTGATTACCGCTTTAAGCCTAGTAGTTACCTATAGGAGTTTAAGCCCTACCTAGATAGGTAAGTGGGTCTAGGAGAGTGACCGGATTGAATTGATTGTTGCGGAGTCTAAATGGCGGGAGTCCTTTTCACGAACATGTATATAGGCAGGACATCACTCCCCTTAGATACAAAACACCTAGGAATAGGTTCCACGAGGCAAGTGCGACAGCACTATAAGACCACGGCGGGACCCGCCCGAATACCCTATGGGAGGTTACAGATAGGGCGTTAAACCATAATCAACATCAACATCAACATCTTTCTATTCACCAAACTGCTCTTTAGCACCAGGCACTAGCTAGACACCAAGTATCTAGCTAGAAGCAAGCCTAAACTGCCATAGCCAAACAAGCACCCAAACTGTACGATAAACAAAACCAGATAGAACGGCCCTCGGCCCAGTCCTACATAGTCTCTGACTGAAAAAGGACTCAAATGGAATAATAATAATAATAATAATACTAAATCTATCAGGTGAATCTTACAAAGACTCTTCTAGGCCTATAATGCTATCCACAGCTATCATGCAGTCATCCATTTTGTGGGCTCCTCTGGATCTTACCTAGAGCTCTTTTGGACATCCCTGCACATTACAAAGGATTTCGAAACCTTGCCAAATTTGTAGATCTAAATTAATGATTTTTGAATGGGCTCATAGTGGATCCACGTAGTCAATTCAATCATTCTCCAGATGACCTAATAGAAACAGTCAAGCTTATTTCATATACGGTTCGAAGTGAGGGAATGGGATATAACCCATACATATATCATCACATGGCCCTAATTGTCTGAAGTTTAGATATTCATTATCCCAATTCTCAAACTTCCTTATGGCCGCGAAACTCTCTTTTCCCACTGTTCGAGAGGGATCACACTATGATCCATTACTCTTCAAGGCAGCCGCCGCTCTTGTGGCCTTGGGAGTGTTCCTGATAATGCGCTTTATTTACTGGTATCTGAAGGCCTCCAAACAGTTTCCTGGCCCTCCAGTAAAATCCTTCTTGCAAGGGAATCTGGACCAGACCATGACAGATGATATACATGAAAAGTGGCGCGCATGGCACATTCAATACGGCCCCATCTTCCAGACTGTGAGTACACTACATCTTTACAGCATTACCTAGACTGACAACGATGGGAAGTGGAATGGCCCCTGGGACCGCACTATCTATGTCGGCAAACCTTCCCTTATCTCCAAAATTGCGAACCAAAACTGGCCCAAGGCGCCGGCACAGTATGAAGGCTTCAAGCCCTTGAGTGGGAGTGCATTGTTCGCACAAATGGACCACACTAGGTGGCACAGCCAGAGAAAAGCTCTGGCACCTGCTTTTGGTCCTGCTGTCGTCAACGCGCAGTTTTCGAGCCTGGCGAGATACCTTACCGTATGTGCTCACCCTGCTATCCCCCCTCGAGCCACTAGCTGACCAATGGCAGCAATTCGTTGAGATTCTCGATAATGCCGCCTTGAACAGCCGGGTGCTCGATATCTCTCTGCTGAACGTTCTGCTCACTCTGGACTTTATCGGCGAGGTTGCCTTTGGCATTGATCTTCATGCCATGGAACAAGGAGAGAGCTGCCGTGTCATGCAAATCTTCCAGACAGTGCTCCCCGAACTGATGAAGTGCGGACTCTTCCCACTGCACGCAAAGATCCCAGTCCTGAAGAGCACGCGTGATATGCATGCGGCTATCGCAGAGCTGAGATCAATGGCCGATCATGCAGTGCAGAAGTGCCGGGAGAATGACACTCCTGACAGCAAACCAGCAAAACGCATCTTTGAAATTCTTGCCAAGTAAGAAACAGAACGTCTTCAAGCAAGACTAGAGGCTTACAAGCGCAGACAACGTGACATCGAGGGCCAGTACTTGTTTAACATGAAGGAGCTGGTAGATAACTATGGTGAGAAGAGTTTTCCTGAATGTTGATATTGTGCTTACTCTGTATGCAGTCACATTCCTTGTAGCTGGAGGAGACTCTACAGCTCATACGATCAGTTTCTGCATTACGAGGTTTTGAGGAATCCAGAAGTGATGAAGAAGCTCCGTAAGGAACTCGACAACGTCATCCCAGCCGACTGTGTTACCCCCTCTATTGAGCAGGTCAAGCTACCCTATCTAAACCGCGTGATCAAAGAAACCCTTTGCATGCACGGTCCGGGATCTGGTACATTTAGATACTGCAGTCAGGATACCGAAATCGACGGCATAGTGCTTCCCGCAAACACAACTATTGCTCTTTGGAATCCCCAGGGTAAGGCGAAATTTTTTTAAACGCGTTCGATATGCGGCTAATGAGATTCAGTTCACCGTGATCCCAGAATATGGGGGCCAAAGGCGAACGAGTTCAACCCGGACCGGTGGGGCGACGACATGCCGTCCAGGACGCCAGGGTCTTACTTTCCCTTCTCATACGGGCCAAGAAACTGTCTCGGTAAGCTCCCTACCACATTTCTTCTTGAATTAGATCATACTGATAAGCATCAGGCCAAGGACTTGCCATGTTACAAATGTCGTTCGCATTAGCGACGCTGTTCCGCCGATATGATCTGTCAATCGAGCCGGGTTTTGAGATTGGAATTTTTGCCTAGTTTCACTCTCTGTCCCAAGAACGGCTTGCGGGTATGCGTTTCTCGTAGGGTTTGATCACGGTGGCTGTTTAGTTATTAGTGTACTGCATGCAACTACATTAGATAGGGTCTCCACACTGTGACAGAGTAGAAGGATCAACCCCTTGCTGCTCTCGTGTCAAGTAGTCGGGTCAATTCTTTCTTGTTTAGCTAGAGTCAGAGAAATACGTGCATTATTACTTTTCAAACTTAGAAAAATGCTACTTATAAAAGGGATTGCCACGCGTTTGGCTTGTTTCATTTCACTCTCTTACATTACCCATACTGCATGTGTCATCTGTGTTCTTTTCATAGCGATGGCGTTAAGTTATACGAAATCTACCTAGCAGCTTTAAAGAGGACACTGCGTTGGGTTACAGTCGCTAGCGATTGCGGCTCCGCCCCATCACACCGGCTGCAACATGTGTTGCTTAGCCTCACCTTCCGTAAATAGGTTAGCGCTGACTGTGGAACGCTACACAGACAGTTTGACTAGTCAGCTATCAACAAAAAGTGGACTCGGTCTGAGTCGGTGTTGCTGTCTGTACGGGTGAAGCCGCAATCGCTAGTGACTGTACCTAGTGTAGGCGGCTCTCGGGAACAAAGAATCAAGTTTTCCCCCACAATCATGTCCACGCCACCGAAACGGGTGCAGCTTAGCATACGATTGCTCCACAACTGCATGCCAAATTTGATAAGTATTTTACACATAACTAGATTGAATAGCTCACACTAAGTTATAATGCAGCCTTTTACGTCACACTTGCGGCACGTAGAGTGGGGAGTGGATCTCGGCCCGCTAGCGATAAGCAGAACATCGGCCATTCGGTTATTGTGGTTTTCGAAATACCTTGAGCCGCCTGGATCTGGTTAGCTTGGTGCCCAAGAACATCAACTCCCATAGTAATTTGTTAGTAAATTAATGCAGCAGCCGTTTCCCACCTCCAGAAGCCCATGAAGCTAGTCCTGTACTCTAAATCGTTCGTGTATAGCGTTTTGTTTGTGTGGAGCTTGTTGCGAGCTCAATCTAGCTGCTGTTGGGATGCCGCCCAAGCGCCAGCGTAAGCCGAAGCAGCCATTCGATCAAGGCGTTAACCCGTCCTCCCAGAAGCGTAGAGCGCCAGCAACTAGACAAAATCCTACCCATTTAACGCCTAAACGTGTCCGCCGTGAGGCGCTGCCGTCGCCTCCAGCGACTGCCCCGCCGCGCCGTCAAAGCCCGTTGTCCGAGCCTGAGCTGCAAGCCACCCAAACAGCTGCCTCCGCGCAAGCTGAAGATATCGTTGGCGAGGATGAGGATACTTTCGAGGATGGAGATGGCGATCCGCTGCCTGAGGATGAGGATGAGATCGCTGCTAAGGGCGCTGCCGGTAGTGTTGAGGATGAGGGAGAGCCAGCGTACCGACGTCAAGAAGGCACTCCATGGCTGCCTCGCTCATCGCAAGCGCTAGAGGATGAGGTTAATCCTGTACTGCGCGTTAGGTGGAGGGCTTGCCTTGGTGGTGATATGGAGAAACACTTTATTCCTGAAGCTGCCGATAGCGAGCACGGCGTACGGCTGTACTCGCTGCATTTCGACGACCTATGGCAGTGGGTAGATGACGTTGTTGCAGAATTACGGCCAAAAAGAGCGAAGATCTCATCTGTTTGCACTGTTGTTTACCCAGCTAAGCAGGCCAAACGCGAGCGCGCGATAAAGCGATTGCGGCGAGGTGTTGATGCAACGTGGAATAGCTTTCAGCGCCTTGTTGTAGAGGTTGATAACTATGTCAGCGAGCCAGTAAACGTCGATTTCGAGCTCATCTTGGCTGAAATTCCAGGGGAGCAGCAGCCGTTGCCAACGGTTGTCGACGGTCCTCGTCGACGCACCGCAACGGTGATTCAAGAGGAGGGGCTTGCTGGTGTAACAGCAGCTGAACAAGCAGGTAGCGGGCATGCTATTGCTATCCGGGATAGATGGCGCTGTACAGATACCCATTGCGAGAACTATCCTTATTGCTGCTGGATGGCGCCAACAGCGAGGCAGCCAGCGCGCTTCGAAGATCACCTCTTTGTCAACGGCAACATTATCTCCATGTGGGCAAGAGCAATTACAGCGAGAAGGGCAACGTACGATGAGCCATCTGATGATGTACGGCTTGCAATTTTGAGAGCAAAGGACCTGCGGGTGCATGAGAAAACGCGCAAGTTGCGGGCGGCTGGAGATGGCGACGATGATATCAAAAGCTTAACAAAACTGCTCATCGTTGGACAGCTTGAGCGGATGAACAGGCAACCTCAACAGGAGTCTAACTTGCAGGCAGCTGCACCAACGATAACAAGAGCTGAGGTATCTAGTGCATCTCAGTGGGCGCCTATCCGATATGATCATGAGCAGGAGATTAACGAGCATACTAGTAATTTCTTTAACTACCTTAAGTTAAAATTTCCTACAGTTGGAGAGGACATTAACGAGCTTTATAAGACTCTTGTTATTGACGGAGCTATGGATATCAACCTCTTGATGCAGCCATCTGGTGATATCTTGAAGTTGTGGACGCAGCATTTCAAGCAGCCTCCTGGCTGGTTTTTCACGCTACAAAACACTGCAAAAGAATGGCAAGCTGGGTACCAGGGTCTCACAGATCGTAACTGGAGACGAGTCGAACGTTGTAAGAAAAGAGAAGAGATTGCGCGCAAGAAATTGGTGGTTGAACCGTCTAGCAGTGTTGTGGAGGATGATGGCGAGAATGCTTGAAGCTTAGTGGCCTGAGCGTTTTTGGTGACAGCGGCCCGTGCCCGCTATAGTGTTGAGGTTTTTCAGGCGTTTCAAATGCGCTGCAACAATAGTCTATTTGGATAGCCCTATGTACAACACTACAACGTTATGCGATTATAACAGGTTAACTTCCTAAGATAGTTCTATATGTATAGAAATAGCTCTTATTTTTTTAGAATTATTAAATCGCTTTTGTGGGTTGCGCATTAAGGTGTAATCGTTCGCATTTGTATGGTATCATCTACCTATAGAAACGTACTGTGGCATCCATTTAAAAGCACAATTAATAGGGATAGCCACACCTATGGAACCAGCTTCTGCAGTTAATATTACAGCACACCAGCTGCGCTGCATACTCAAGAAAGACCCCAAAGTCAATGAAGTTCTCCGCTTGCGCTGAATTCCTTTTCATCCACCCCTTGAGCTGCTTAAAGCTCTTCTCGATGGGGTTGAAATCTGGTGAGTATGGCGGCAGATACTCAAGGAGTACTCCAGCACTTTGGCAAAGCACCCGTACACGCTCTGATCGATGGATGGAGGCGTTATCAAGCACGATTACTGAGGCTGGCCCTGGGTGAGGATTGCAGAACGGCAGCACTTGAAACTCTAAGAAGTCTTCTAGGATCTCAGATGTAATCGCGCCTTGAAAGATCTTATAGCTTATGTAGCCATCTATCGTCATGGCTGGCAGCAGCGACCACCGTTCTGATCGCCTGAAGCTGTGTGATAGCTCCACCGGCTCCCCGATTGGAGACCAGCCATACTTGCGGTCGCCCGTACGCTCATTGCAGGCGCTCTCGTCCAACGCAACGATCTGCTCCGCCTTATAGTGTTGCGCCATCCTGGCAAGATAGAGGCGGCGGAGTGGCTCACTCTGCTCCTTTGCCCGCTTTGTTGCAAGCTTGCGAGACCATCTCATCTTCTCTAGCTCTCGGTAAACGCTCGCAAGGCTTATCCTAACGTCGTACTCGTCGTACAAGAAGTCCCTCATCTCATCCATGTATGCGCCCGGTGAGCCATTGAGGTATGCCTGAAGGCCTTCGCGCTGAGCTTGCCGGAGTATAGATGGCCGCCCAAGTCGAACGCAGCGCGGCGGATAAGGCACGCCCCAAAACTCTAAGCTCAACCTCAGCTTTGCTACTGTGTTACGGCTCGCACCTGTAGCTCTAGAGATGGCTCGATCACTTTCGCAGGCAGCAATTCGGTCGAGGATAGCCTGGAGAACAGCGGGCTGCAAGCGGTGGCCGGTGCCTGGCATCGCGATGAGATGGGCTCGAGAAAATTGCAACACCAAAAACGCGAGTCAGTAGAGGCGATCGCAGCAAACAATGAACTTCAAATACGTTGTGGGTGTTAGAAAGCGTGGCTGCATCGATTTACTAACAAATTACTATAGGAGTTGATGTTCTTGGCCACCAAGCCAACCAGATCCAGGTGGCTCAAGGTATTTCGAGAAACACCCATACATGGATAGTTTGAGGTAAAAGCCCTCGTCGATCAAGGCATAGAATCTAACAAACAAAAAATTGCTCCCCGGTAGACTGTAGCACGCACACGCAGACGCTACCGTGTGGTTCCACTGCATTACCCGCCGTTCAGACCCAACTGCAGTGAGAGCCGTTAATAAGCATTTTTTTTCATATAATGTACAACAAGATTAGGCTTAGTTCATCGCTTGTTCCTAAGACCCGCCTACCCTACCGAACCCTAATTTTGTAGTTTCTCCCATGTCGTCCGCACAGTGGAAGTTGTATTGAAATTTAAGAAACTGTTTAGGATAACTAAGATGAGACTTGCTATTAGTCAATCTAGTAAGGATTGAGATCCGTGTACGCTGCTCAACCCTCGTATCGTGTCACATACAGGGGTAGGATTGATAGTCGTAGCTTTCCTCGTTTTGTTCGTGCGCGTAGGCCTAATAGAATGAAGTGATAACGTTGACGTGGCAACAAAGCTAATGTGCACAGCTACAGTTCAGACTGAATTGACTAATAAAACGTCTAGCTAAATCCAATTTCCTTTACATTCCCCTCCACGATTATCTTGCGCTGCTATGAAGGAAGAATTGCCTGACTCTATTGCTACACTTGCTAGCGACGATGCAGCTGTTAGAGAGACGGAGCCGCAAGAAGGGGGCACTCGCGCATGGCTCACTGTGGTCGGCTCTGCGCTAGTCTATTTCGCTTCATTTGGCTTCATGAATAGCTTTGGGTTTTTTCAAGACTTCTATCAAGCTAATTACCTGTCCAACTATCCTCCCTCTACCATGGCTTTTATTGGCACGCTCCAGATCTCCCTGATGTACGTCATGGGTTCAGTTGCCGGCTCACTTTTTGACTCGTACGGGTTAAAGGTAATTCATTCACTATGAATAACTCAAGACCTCGCTAATTGAAGACAGTGGTTGTATCCGGTCGGAGCTCTAGGCTGTTACGGCTCCCTTATCGGCCTTTCCTTTTCGCAAAAAGGGGCTATATGGCAACAATTCCTCTCGCAGGTAAATCTTACTAGTGCTGAAAAGACGTATCGCTTTTCTAATCAGATCAGGGTGTCCTCTTTGGTTTGACGGTGGGCTTTGGTGTTCAACCCGCCCTCGCCGTCGCAGGCCAGCACTTCAAGCAGCGACGTGCTCTAGCCATGGGGATGGTTGCTGGTGGGAGCAGCCATTGGTGGTGTGTGTCTGCCTATTATGTTTTCTCGCATCGTCCCTAAGATCGGCTTCGGATGGTCGATTAGAGTCGCCGCATTACTTTGTCTGTGCTGTTACTTAGCTGCCATTTGCATATCGCGGACTAAGCAAGCCTCTAAAAAGACCCCGGTTGGTTTAAGTAGCAAACTCCTCGATTTTCAAGGTTTCAAAGATCCTAGATATCTTACTCTAGCGATTCGAAGCTCTGTGGCTAGCTTAGGTCTGTACGTCCCGTACTACTACATCGGTAAGTCGCCTTTACTTACGGTATCAACTTCTCTTCTCGTCGCTAATTACGCCCACAGAGTCCTACACGACCCTCTACCACCCCTCGGCCCCCATCCACAGCTATCTGTTGCCACTAATTAATAGTGCCAGTTTTTTTGGCCGCATCGTCGGCGGCTTCTTAGCCGACAGGGTAGGCCTGCTTAACCTGCTGTATCCGATGACATTCATTTCGGGCGTCTTTTGTTTAGCCATATGGTTGCCAGCCGACAATGTCGCCACCATCGTCGCCTTTGTATGTCTCTATGGGTTCTCTTCGGGCATCTTTATTAGCGTTACACCCGCCGCGGTTGCGCAGATCTCGCCTAACGACCGGATCGGCGCCCGGATCGGTGCATTTTTCACGCTCGCGGCCGTTGCCACGCTCATTGGTACGCCGATTGCCGGGGCCCTTGTAGACGAGAATGTGGATAATGGGTATAGGAATGTAATCCTCTTTGCTGTGAGTATCTACGTATCGGATTACTGGCGGGCTTATAACTAACTGCTTATAATAGGGCCTTACACTCAGCATCGGCAGCGTTTTCATTCTTTGTTCTCGAATTATATGTGAGAAGGACCTACGGAGGAAGTGGTAGTGCATCTATCAGCACAAGAGGTTTTGACTAATTACTCAGCATAAATGTCACGATACTTCAGCTAGAAGCCTGAGGGCCACTACCGGGGACCCGTCGGAGCACCGACGGGCCGACCCAGCCACAGTCACGTGCTATAGGTATATAGTCTACACCGAAGCCTTGATTCCTCGTTAAGGATTCGTCTCAACACAAGCCTATACCTACACTTTGAACTCCTGCTCGATAAATTCTCACAATAAAGTACAGAGGGTATTCAGGGGAAAGCTTAGAGATTCCCTTACTGTACTAAGAATATAAAGTTGTAAACCAATTCTGTTGTAGTCAGGGTGTTTATTGTGCGGGATCTGCCTAGGTTTGTTTCTAGATCTTCACGTCCGATAGTGAAATGCGTTAGACCACGATACAGATCTGTAGGCTACGTCATGGCGGGCTAGGGCCCCATATACGTCCATTCCGACCGCCGTGGTTGCAGCTTCGTCGATATGTTTTGCATGCCAAGGCGCTAGTCTATCTCCGACGCGTGCGAACTGCTGTGGAGCGTGACGTTTGCGGCCGACCAAGCCTTGTCGCAACCTTTGTCACTGACTCCATTTTGTCCTCAGCTTCACATGGGCGCATCCCTTGGCAACCTTATATGTCCAGGTCTTGATCATTTCCATTTGACTATTACTTACTCCCTACACCATGCCGGACTATAGCAAGCAGACAGTCGCGCAGTTGCGCCAGCTATTGAAAGACCGAAGCATACCTAGTACGGGCCTGACACGGAAGGCGCAGATTATCGAAAAGCTTGAGGAGGCAGACAGCGCTGCAACAACCACTCACGCGACCGAAAGTAACGTTGATGGTGCAGCGGCGCCCTCTAATGGAGTGGACGAATCACTACATCAAGCCAACCAAGACCATGTTGATGCCGAAGTCCAAGTCTCTAGAACACCTGTCGAAGAAGCTGGAGGTATGTGCGCGTTATAAACACCGAGCGCGTTGGGATACTAAGCTGAGTGCAGGGCCAGACGCAAAACTCGCACGCGACACGGAGCCAGAAGTCCAACCCGTACCTGTAGCGACAATCGATAGTCTGCCTGAAACGATATCGCATATAGACAACGTCATTCACCCTGAACAACGGACCAAAGCCATTAAAGAGTCCGCCGGAGATACTGCAAACGCAAAGGAGCCCGCCCCATTACAACCCATAGAGATATTCGACGCGCCGCCGGCGGACCTGAACGGTACAGTCGGTCCGGCTGTGACTGAACTCACGGACGCCCCAGCCGGAGTTCCGGAGGAAGAGGAGCTCGCCACAGACCCACTACCAGACGCGCCTGGGCCGGCCGCAGAAGATTTGTGTCTAGCATCACAAAAGCACGAGCTTCCTCAAGGCTTGCAAGACAATGGCATGGACGACAAAACAGCTTCACCCGCACCGAATGAGAAGCAGTCAGTGGAGAAGCCAGAGTTGCTTCCCATACCGGAGCAGTCAACAGCTGAAACATCACGACTAAACTCCGAAGAGTTGGAAGCGGATTCGAAGAAACGGAAGAGGAGGAGTGACACGCCCGAAATGGGAGCCGATGATATCAAGGCCAAAAAGCACAGACCGAGTCAGGAACTGGCGCCCGAGATATATTTGAAGGAAGACAAAGATATAGACATAGATCAAAGAAGGACCAACGAGGTGGACATGGCCGCAGCAGTTGACAATAACATCCTCACACACGACAATCACGCCAATCCGGGCAAAGCAGCCTCGCCAGCTGGAGGAGTGGAACTCAGGCGCGAAAAGAAAGAAAATTCGGCTCGATACAAAGATCTAGTGAACACAGGGGCAGATGATACGCCGCTAGAAGCGTTAACGGACGATAGGCCAACCATACCCGCAATACACCCCGTGACACCTGCTCTGTACATCCGCAACTTCATGCGTCCACTACGCCCAGAACCGCTACGAGCACATCTGATCTCCCTCGCTTCTCCACCCTCGAGCTCACCAGACCCTACCATTATCAAATCGCTCTTCTTAGACGCAATGAAAACACACGCTCTCGTCTTGTTCAGCAGCACAATTGCCGCATCTCGAGTACGGGCATCATTACATGGCTCGATATGGCCACCAGAAGGAAACAGGAAAGAACTCTGGGTAGACTTCGTTCCCGAAGAACACGTAGAAGCATGGATCAAGCAGGAAGAGGACGCAATAGAGGCCGAAAAGGAAGCTCGTACGAATGGCCGTTCCTCGAATCCGAAGCGTTTTGAAGTCGTGTACCCAGAGTCTAGCGATGGCTCCATCACAGCTGTGTTCCAGGAGGTAGGTTCGAGCGCGCCGTTCAATGCTCCAAAGGGACCACGCGCGAGCCTCGATGTTCGGCGGCCTTCTATACAACAATACTCGCCACCTTCTTTACCACCGGGGACAACTAAAGATGTCAAGCATGACACTGAAGCCCCATTCAAGACGCTACATGATCTTTTCTGCGCAACTGTGGCTAAACCGCAAATATTCTATCTTCCGGTTTCTGATGAGACATCTGAGCTGAGGCTAAAAGAGCTGGACGCGGAAACGAGTAGAGATTGGGCCCCGGGTGAGGTCAGGAAAGGACGGGGCATCAAGAATAAGATCAAGTACAAATACAGCTTCGATGAAGACGATAGGATCGTCGAAGTTGGAGAGGATCGGGGGCCGTGGAGCGAGGGCTACCGAGGGGGTCGACGAGGCTTTAGGGGAAGGGGGAGAGGTGGTGGATTCAGAGCAAGGGGAGATAATTGGAGAGGGTGAAAGAATCCAGCGTATCATAGTTGTACTCTGTGTTCGCAACATCTTTATATCAGTGTCTGATGGCTAGTAGCTTGACAGACTTTAATCGACTGGGTTTGGAAGAGCAACGTCATGATACATGTAGGCGCATCTCGAATGACATCTTACTTTTCCCCTCTCGCTTTGTTTCTCTCCCTCCTCCTCTCCCTCTCCATCTTTTTTGCTTGGTTGAAACTAGGCGCAACGCCTTCTTCAGCAATTTTAGCCTTGTCCAAACGACCCTCATCTATCTCATCTAACAGAAACCGACCGAGAAATCCATTCCTCCACTTTTGTATCATCCATAACGACGTCGCCTCCGTATCTACAGCTCCGCCTTTGCCCAACCTGCCTGTTTTTCTCGCAATCTCAGACAGCAGCTCTATGATGTCGTTGGTAGGGGCAGTGGCATATTCCGCGTAGAGTTTTGGCGATTGAAGATTCAGGTGGTATAGTAGGTAATCTGCGAGCATAACGGGCGGGATAATGGTATCTTTGACAGAACCGCAGAGTGCTAGTTTCATCATGGCTTCAGCGTCTGGAACGTACGGAATGAAAACACCGGGAGTGTCGAGCAGATAGACGCCCCCTCCAACACCTTGGTGTTTGTTCTTCGTCCCCGCATCGGCTGATACCATGTCATCCTCGCTGGGTATAATCTTGACACCACTGCTACTAACCTTGCGTGTAACCCCTGGCTGAGCGCCTGTAGCAGCAACTTTACCTTTGCCAATACCCTGCGCACGAAGGGCATTGAGGAGCGTGGACTTGCCAACGTTCGGCATGCCGACGACCATGACCCGGTGGCCAACCAACTTCCACCTCTTCTGCGCATGTTCTCTCAGGATATCCAATAGCTTGTATACGCTCTTCTTTCCGTTAATCTCACCCTCTGCTTCCTTTCCGTTCCTCACAAACATGGTTGCGGTAGGGTAGTGCCATTTTGCAATGACTTGTTCGTTCTTGTTGTCGCGCGACCCTCCACCCAGATCCCTTTTTGTGTACACAACAATTCTCTCTTTGCCTTCCAGAGCATCTTCGAAGAGGGGATTGCGCGAGGTGAGGGGGACACGGTAGTCGCGGCATTCAATGACTAGGTCGATAGAGGAGAGCAGAGACTTCATCTTCTGCAGCCCGGATTTATGGTGACCCAGGAAGTAGGATCGCGGTAGCGACGGGATCGGAGGGAAGGCATGGCGGGGGATGAATGACATTGGTCACATTTGCGTTTTTGTAGAGGTGAGCGCAATGGGAGGACTCGCAATTCTTCCAAATACGAGTCAGATATTCCTCGTCTCTTGGCGTTCCTGACTAGCCTGGGTTGACAGCCTCGATGTCGCATTCCAATCCCCTGGTCCTTCACATACCAAGCTCTCTAGCTCTGACACCAACCGGTCCATAGAAGGTAGCTCCCCTGATGTCCTGCCGTCTCATATTACATGCACCCGGGTTTCATAAACTGCTTAACAGTGTGTGGAGCGCCTACTTGGCGTGTCCGGCGACTACCGTTGCGTTCTTACACTGCTATGTCAGATGTTCTATGACACCCGCGTGCAAACATACTGTTAACCGGCATCCACTTAACTTACAGGCAATCTCAGTCAATGGTAGGTGACGAGAGAGATAATATCGAGCAAACGAGCAAAAACTATAGAGGCCAGACCAAGCTGGAACCAAAGGCCTTTTGGATCGAATGGTTGCAACCAGTTGAGAACTGATTCGATCCCCTTCTGCTCCAAGATAGACCCATACTCGACTATGACTCCGTTCCAACCCAAAAAACCAGGAACTCAGTAAGAAAGTAAGTGCCATGCCTTTGCTAGGAACGCATATGCGCCCTACTAGCGCTGCAATTGGCTGATCCAGAGCAAGGTGCTTGACATAATCAGGGATTGAATTTTATCTAACAAACTCATATAAGCAAAGAAGGAGTAACAAGTGAGCTCTGATTGCTGTCGGTATGATCGGCAAGATAGAACATGAGTTGAACGCGAATTGTGTCATCTCGTAGAGCGACGACCGTTCAGTCCAATAAAGCTAAAGCCAATTCGGTTTTAATGCGCTTAGTTGGTTTTTGTTTCGTGTTTGCCAGAATCTCCTTCCGCTTCTTGCCTTCAATGTGGTCCAGGATTTGTTTCAAGTTCTGTTCCGTGTCGTCAATAACCCCAACGCTCTCACCTGTTGCAGAGGATGCTTCATTCTCTTGTTCTTCGCCTCGTGGAAGCATGTCCTTCAAAACTCGGCTCTTCTCTTCAAGGTGAGGAATTTGCTGTGCTAGTTCAGCACGGATCACCTCCCCTTCCTCCGTAATACGATAATCGATAGGAGCCTCGGCTCGTAGATTTGCACTCAATTCCTCAAGCAGCTTCTCAATACCGTTGAAGTGCTTATCAAGTAGGTCGCTTATGGTGTCATCAAATTCGTGCTGGAATGTTTTCAGAGCCTGATCGACGAAGTGGTTGCCTGGGCTTAAGAACAGGTCCTCCATCTTCTTCTTTTGGAACTTTACTTTGGACATGACATATCGCTTTGCCGGTTTCTTTTTCCCATTTTTCACTGGTAGCGGCGGCTTTTCTTCTGGTACCGCTTCGAAGACTTCAGCATAAAGGTCGTCGGTCATGGAGGCGATCAGGTTGTGTTCCTGGCCAAATTCCATCGTGGCTCTCTCATACATATGTCTCTCAACCTTGCTGACCTCATCCATCATTGTTAGCAGCTTGGCCTGGAGTATGGTACGGAGCGGAGCCCATTTTTTCTTCGCCTTTTCAATCGTGACCATGTTTGCACTGGAGCTGTCCATAGAGCTGATCATCTTGTGGTGGAGCTGATCTAAGCTTTCGCGTAAAGCGGGACGCATGTCGTTCATACGTGCTTTGTGCGCATTTGACCATTTGTTGAAGCCGGGTGCTAGTATCCCTGCGAGTTCCCGTGTCCAGTGACAGCCGTTCTCTAGACCTTTGGCTTTTGAAGCACCTTTAGGAACAAAGCCTCGAGATCTGACAATGCGGTTGAAAGCTCCAGCTTTGAGAGTCAACCAACCTGTTGCTAGCTTTTCCTCGACCTGTTCCTTGAAGACTGGAACGTCCTTGCTGATCTTGACAATGCTGTTGTTAGAAGCATCTCGAAATGCTGTTTTCGCTTGCGTTAGCAGCCGTGCCATAAAATCCTTTCGCAGTGAATCAAAGTCATCGACTATCGTTCGGAAGCCACCATCGCGGTCATTGCCTTTGACTGTCCTCTTTGTCTTTTCAATGAATGCCGTTATCACGGTAGTGATATGAACTTCATAGTCCTTCAAGCTCTGTTGGGCAGGAAGCGAGTACAAGAAGTTTCGGATCGCAGGTATTCCTGTCATCTCAGGCGATAAAGCCGGCTGGTTTGCAAAGCTTAATTTGGACTTGCGAATCCAATCCATGTACTCTGCAGCAGAGGTGTGGAATATTTCAGGCATATCTTTGTCCGATCTGCCTCGCAGCTTTGAGTTCAGCTCCGTGGTAATGTGCTCTGCACGCTGCACAACTTTCATCTGCTTTCGATGTTTCTCAAGGTATGTCCGGTATTGTTCATTCAGCCTGCGTTTCTTGGAGGTCTCTTCGTCGTCATTGTCATCTTCATCCAGACTGATTTCTCGTTCCTCGATTTCCTGTAGCAGCTTGTTGATGCGATCATATTCGCCTCCCGAGCATTGAGATAATTGGTTCTTCGATAGTGACTATAAAGAATTAGTCAAAAGCTTAATGACCTAGAAGAGGGCCAAATAATACTGACATCAATCTTCGTCCCGAGGACTTTGACATTCGTTTGACCATGATGTGCGATCGCTGCTCGCGTGCTATTGATAACTTTATCGTCAGATGCAATGCGAATTGTATCTGCGAGGATCATCTCCACGTCAACAGTATCTTTGATCTGCTTTGCATGTTGTACCCTTGAAAGGTTGATATCACCCCAGCCTAGGTAAAGATCAGCCCAAACTTGGAAGTTCCACAAGAACAACAAAATTTCGAACATACCTGGCAGATCAATGATCTCAATACCCTGGAGTATCTTATGATAGAATCGGACCGAAATGTGGTCTACAAGTGGCCATAGGCACCTTTGACCCTTCACGCTTGTGAGAAAGGGACTAAGCTTTGCTAACAAATCTTTCTGTGTATCGGCCATCTTTGAAACAATGTTGTGGGGATCGACATGCTCATTAGACAGCGCTTCATCACACTTCAACTGGCAAAGGCGAACGAAGTCCCCAGACTTGTAGCTTGCCATGGTCCAATTATCAAGAAAGTCTTCATGTGAGCCAAATAGCGTTGTAAATATGTCTTCGGCGGCGTCATTGAGGCTCCGATCCATTTCGTCCTGGCTGAGAGCCTTCACGCGCGGAATGTCCTCGGTATCGGACTCGTCGTTTCCATTGTGGTAGAAGAAATAGGATCGTGCATGCTCTGCAAGAAGTCCCTGCCGCTTCTCGTGTGAAAAACTTGATCTCTGCGAAAACTTTGTCGTTCCCAGTGTTGCTCTTCGAGTACTGAACGTACTTGGTGATGGAGCTTGTACACGCTGCACCTTCTGCGCCCGTAAGGGAGAGACCATCGCGATCAAATATCGCATTGATAGTCAAGCTCTTGCCTGCGCCCTGGGCGCCTAAGAGAGCGACCCTGAGAGGTGCGCTTCGTGACACATGGGAGAGGTCTGTGGCTGTACGAAGGAGATACTGAAGCTCTTTATCACTCGGTGGCGAGCCTTGCAGCAAGCTGATGACTAGTCGTGCAAATTCCTTGAGCAAGTCATCGATCTTAGACTTGTCCAGTGTCCACCAGGGATGATCTGGTTTCTTCTCCGTCGATGGTTCGTACTTTGGCAGGCTTCGCCGTTGCTGGACGTATGTACGGAAGTCCTCAAAACTAATGACCGGTTCCAATTCCATGATGCTTGAGGTGAATGTGCACCTAGAAGATTCGCTGGCTACCACTTAGCGATATTAATGTAGGCAGATACCTGGTAGCTTGAAAATCGGTAACGGAAGAAGTGAGTTGGAAAAAGAGAGTTGGAGGAAGTGGTGTGGAAGAAGAGAGTTAGAAGAAGTAATGTAGAAGAAGTGATGTGGAAGAAGTAAGGTAGATGGATGGGGGGGTTGCTAGGAATGTTACCGAGCTATCCTGTATATAGTCAGCGCCAGTTGGCAAAGGGCATGATAAGATGATTGATTTGCAAGTGAGAGAGCGCCTAAAATCTGCTACGTGATCATCTATGGCCGAAGTGAGACCCCGCACCGAGTGAGAACGTATCCCAGTAATAGAAGCTAAACTCCAGAGGATAAAATAGTAAGAGTTCAAGAAGATGTGGTACCCAGGTGTTATAAGATTGAGAGTGTGGAGTAAGCACCTGATAGGCGCAGTCTGGCAACTGCAGTGGGCTTTGCACACTAGTATATCAAGTACTTTATGACACTCAGGTGGTAACAATACTGAATTGGTATGCCGGTGGGCATTTCCCCTGATCTGTTCTCTGACAAGACTACTCGCTGCAGTCGAGCAGCATCACAATCATATTCCGTCTCAAACTGTTTTGATGTGTTTCGCGGACCATAGCCAGCTACACTCTCTGGTGACGCTGGGTGTGGCTACTTGTTGCTAATATAAGTTGTCGCTTTATCGGACTACTCCAAAGGTTGTAGGAGTAGAAAGGCGAGGGGTTAGTTGCGCGGTCTAGTCGGAAGGTAAATAGGTTATTATCAAAATTATGCTATGAAATAGAAATCCTAGCTTTCTATCAAGTAGCAGGACTAAGTCTCTTAAATAGCGTCCTTGCTCTCCTAAGGTAGACTGGACAATATTATCTCCTTCTCTTCCACGTCTTTTCTCTCCTTATTCTGAGCAAAGCGATACACGTCTGGCCAAGACCGACATTGTCGAAGGGTAGCCGAAGGCGGCCTAAAAGAGTTTGCGGTAGCCTATTATGTTGAGCCCGACTTTATAAATCTAACGACATATATTAATTATTATCTTCGTCGTGTTTACTAGGGAACTCTCTACTGTACCTAGCCTGAGGCTGAGATAAAGCTAACTCCGAGGTTGCAAAAGCTATGGGCATATGAATACCCAGCTCCGCTGTTGATCGACGACTTGGGGAACGGCTAGTGTTCCAAAGAAGACGAAAAACAAGAGGAGACAGGCTTGGACACCTGTGTGACTGTCTAACCTATCGACTGCGGAGAGTTGTATTAGAGCGTCACACCGGCGGAAGTACTCGATCTATGGGCTCTCAGGCCCCAGTAAGCTCTTTCTCAAAAAAACATCCTATGCTTAAGATGTTTTTGTAGTGTGACTCGTGCCACACTGCTTCGCATGCAATTCGTGCTAGATTTAGGTCGCTCATGACTGGTTGCACAGACTGTTGGATCAGATTGGAGTTCACGACGTGATAACGTTCGAGGACATGCGATTTTTTGGCATGGATCATCCCGTTGGTGGTTGACAGAGAATAAGCCTAAGATGCTCTCAGTAAGAACAGCATCTCTGCAAATCTGCAACTGCCTCTAGGGTGTACTTTCCTAAGTCTTAGGTAGCGCGCACTGTGCGGGGCTTGATTGGGCAGGTATAGCCTGTCTACTCCTGTTAATCAACCTAGGAGTTGTATCTTCCTACGTCACTGGATGACCGCCATTGTGGCTCGTTCCTGCTCATGCTGAGCAATCGTTTTCCCTCGCAAATCCCGCACATACAAAAAGTTGGTTCACGGAGTGCGCATTTGTCATGGATCTAATGAAAAGATAATTCTTCCTTCAGTCAGTCGTTTGACATACATGCTGATATGTTTAACCAAAGCTATGCATCCTTATCCGCGGTTGCCATTCTGTATGCCCTGTTTCGTTCCAAAGGCAGGCGCGAAGGTGTACGGGGAGTTTATTCTAGAAAGTGTTCTATTCATACGCGCGCGGAGACTAGACCGTAGTTAGTCGTTGTGTGGCACTAGGCCACTTGATATAACCCTGCCACACTCACCTCCTACGCTACCTTTCCGCTATGGCCTGCATGCCTTAAGGTGTGTTCAATTACATAGTGACAGTCTTGTGAGTTTCCTAGGCAGTAGCATTACACACACACACACACACACACACACACACACACACACACACACACACACGGGTTTCGTAAAATCATCAACCTACTAGTGTAGATAGGCCACCGTAAATGCCAGATATGTCTATTGTACGTACTTACATACACTATCAAGTTTTTTATAACATCACAGTGCACTAGTTAAGCATTAGTCTAGGCACGACTGCAAAGTCATTAACACAGCTAGAAGCCTTAAAAAATAGAAACCTGGGTGTAAAGAGAGTGCAAAAAAGCATCGCACCATACAGTGCAGCTAAATGCATCCCAGAGGTGAAGATAGTTGTGCATGAACTTTGGTCAAACGGCAAAAAATAAAATATCAGACTAGCTGCTCTCGGTTTCGATCCGAGGTCCTCCGGGTTATGAGCCCGGCGCGCTTCCGCTGCGCCAAGCAGCTTTGATTGCTGATTGGATGTTGAAGAAGTTTTGTGTTTCTTACAATATATACTAAGCATTGTAAAGTTGATTATAAGAATGGTCGCTGGAGAAATATTGGTGTGTGCGAGAACGTCTGCGGGAACGCAGGGACAAAATTTCCTCATTATGACTCGCCAAAAACGAATCAAATGGATGTGGATATCTGCAAAGTCTTACCCCCACTACCCACCAAAACACAGAACCTGGGCGCCAACGCTAAGTGCACATGTACCAAAACCAAAATCCAACATGTTAAACCACAATCTTATTATCGAGAAAATGCTCCTTCGGCATCGTCACCCATGCCCCTAAATGCAATTCTGCCATTACTTCGAAGCACTTCGCAGACTGTCTCTGCGCTCAATTCGTACCCACTCTTCCGCCACCGCGCATTCAGCCAATCTGCCAGCGCATCAGCGCTGCAGCTGACGCTTGTATCCCATTCATGCAAAATCAAGTCGATGATGGGCTGATCTGGTAATGGTTCTGGATTCGGGTCTTGCAACGGCACGGAGGAGAGAGCCAGAGGAAGTGCGCGCGGTGGGAAAATGTTCTCGTACGCGGTCAGAAAATGCAGCAGCATGTGTTCAGTATGTGGACGGGAGGCAAGTGTCAGGCCGAATGGCTGGCCGTTTAGTTTCAGGGCGGAAAGAGGGCATGCGGCTGTTGGGTAGCCTGCTGCAGCCGCGAGCGTCGATAGAGCTGCGTCACCCGGCGCAATGATGATGTCGAGCTTTTGGGAGGAGAAAAGGAAGTCGAGGCCTTCGGGGCCCGCAGCGGTCTGGAGATGTTGCCGTGCGGCATTCACTTCTTCACGTTTAGTTGTTGCTTGTAATGCCGCCATGAGGTCGTTTTGGTCCGGACATGCTAACAGAAGTTAGTAATGTTAAAAGATGAGCAGTCTCGACGGGCTTACTCGGCGGTAGACATAGCTCAGGATGATCTAGGTTGAAGTTGATGATTTCAGCCAATGAGTGCATCTTTGTTACTCTGAAATCCCGAATAAACTCTGCCAAGCAATCTTTGAATTCAGAGTCTATTTTGAATCAGCGTGTAATTCTGGGCACTAGGTAACATGTTGGATATACATACATACTACCGGCTCAAAACAGTTCTTGCCATCGATGGTCAAGCTTGATTGATTGGGTAGCTCTACCGGGTACACGATATCGACGCCCATCTCGATCATACTCTGGACGATCATGTCATATTTCTGTGTCTGAATGATGTCAGCACTCTTGTCGCAACATAAGCCCTAATCTTGCAAAACTCAAGCCATACTTGCGCGGTCCAATAGCGTTCCAAACAATCGAGTAAGCAAAAACTACACCAACTCACCATAAATCGCTCGGCATCGCCATTGATCCGCCCGCTTTTACGCCAAGCTTTCCAAATTGTTGGCTCACAGATACCGATGCGAAGCGTGCCAAAGTCTGGCTTGATCTTGAAAGACCTGTGTGGGCTCCTCGCATTCTCTTCTCGACTGGTCGGCACCATCATGGCGTCAATCAGCGCTACAAGGTCTTTTGCAGATTTGGCCTATCCGACTCGGTCAGTGGCTTCGGGTGTGAGCTGACGGAGATGCAGCTTACCATGCCTCCGACAGCATCAAATGTCTTGCTCAAGCTGAATATGCCATCCATGGGCACGACTCCGACTGTAGGCTTTAGAGCATAGAGAGCAGCACGGTTTGCAGGCGTAATCAATGATCCGATGGTGTCTGTTCCGATGGCGAGGGTGCTGAAACCGGAAGCTACCGCAACAGCAGAACCAGTGGAAGATCCTCCGGGTGCTGATAGCTCCCAATGTAGCTTTCTTTTTGCAATATGTCTTGAGACGTACGGTGATTGGCATTGGCCACCAACTGCTGACCACCCTGGTGGCATTGAGGGATTTTTGAGGCCGCAGAATTCAGTCAAGTTCGATTTACCTATGACAATCATACCTCGTTTTGTCAGTCGCTCAACAATGGTCGCACTCTTTTTGGGTATGCATCCGACAAAGGCATATGAGCCTGGGAGATGTAAGCTTGTGGAGGCTTGCAGATGCAGGCCACGTACCAACAGTTGTGTCCATGCCCAACTTCTCATCAGTCATGATGTTGTCTTTCAGTACTATGGGGATTCCGTGTAGTGGGCCTCTTATCTTGCCTCTTGCGCGTTCCTCATCAAGCTTCCTGGCTATTCTGACCAGCTCATGTTTGGGTGCGACGGAGATCAATGCCCGTAATTGTCTTCCTCGCCTGTTGTGCATCTCAATCTCTTTTAGATACAAGCGCACAATCTGCACGCTCGTGATTGCCTGCGCATTCAAAAGTTCGGATAACTCAAATGCGGAGACGGTCAGCGGATCAAAGTCTGGACCCCATGTGTCATCGGTGGAAGAAGTGAAGGATGCTTTCCGCGACCCATCGCTTCTATCGGTGGCTGCACGTGGAACAGCGTTTCCAGTGTTTGGTGCGAGGGCTGTCCTGAGGAACTTGAACACCTTTGGCATTGTTGCTTGGAGTTCGTGATGCTCTAGGCGTTCTCATACGGAGATCCGGGGTGTTGATGCGGGGTGGAACACTGAACGTGGTTCTGAGTACCTTGGGTAACAAAGACGACTGCCTGTGATATGGGACGACGACGACAGGCAAAACACGGCACTTAGGCAACGCTAAATTATGAGTGCTTGCCTTGACATCTGGCGGGCCGTTGACGGTTACGGTACCAGTGGCGGAGCGTACCATCCTTCTATCCAGCCTGGGCCGACCTGGATGCTCGCCCTCAGTAGATCCTGGTCAAAGGCGTTCATGGGCGTGGAGTGACGGGGTTGGTGGTCTTGGTGCGACCAATCGAGGCAATGTGTCTGCAATATTGTGTGTCTGTGGGCCTTCTTATTCGCGAGACGCGCCATAATAAGAAAGCAGGTGATGCGTGGGCAGGTTAGGAAGCACCTGATGCGTGTCGAGGTCAAGTCGTACACGACACTTTACCCGGGACACGGGACACGGGACACGGGACACGGGACAGCACGGAGCTGCCGGCGGTTTGACGTCTCGCTTATGGGTCAGATGGATGCTCACCCTGCTTGAAAACCCGGCTTGCTGGTGTTGGCAACGCATCATCACGCTTGGATCAGACGGACTTGTTTCCATCAAGGTACTTGTCGGAATCATGAAGTGAGGAAAAGCTCATTTTCCTTCAATGCCACACACTATTGTGACTGCTTTGGAGGAATATCCTTTCGCTTCCTGACCATGGTGTCGTCATCTTACGCAGCCCGCTTATCGAAGCGTTGCCCTATTTAGCTGCAGAGCAGTGGCACAGCATACTCGTTCACTTCCCTCATGACTTCTGGATGCGAACATTTGTACCGTACCGGTAGCATCTAGCAACCAGGATTGTTGAACGCGGCTATAAATCCCTGCCTCGCTTCCTCCTATAGGTGAGAATTTATGGCCCAAGACTTGTCGCGCTACATTTTGCGGGGGATCTGCTCTCTACTCACTCGTCTTGATAAGGACTGCGTAAGCTGGGCGGTGTCTGCAAGTCGGGAACGTCGGAAGGCGCCATGGAACAATGCAAGTATTCAATTCTCAAGAGTCATTGCGAGCGCCACGGCATGCACACGCTTGTCAGTCAGGCGGCACAGCTCGTTTGACACTGCCGACTGTGGAGATGCAATATACTGCCCCACACTTTGCAATATCGTTGCCACGCTGTATAAATTGTATTCTAGCTTGACACGATCTTCTCAGAGGTCAAATGATGCTTAGACCTAGGCTCACCTGCCGTAAACATGGTTTGCAAACGACCATCCTTTACCAATCGCACCGTGGTGGAAAGACTGCCGTAAACGCCTCCCAAAAGCCGAGGCAGGTCCCGGCCTTGGGAGTCAGTCAAACCAATATAGCCACCGCTACTACAGCTCCTAAGTGATATGATAGGGCTGCACAGATAAAACGGGTGGGGTGAATCATGTACTAGCGATGGATTGACTGACTTGCTTTGTTTCTGCACAAGCTATCGTCTGTTCTTTGCATTCATCTTTGCAGTTAGAAAAAGAAGATGCCCTACTATACTGAGCCAGACGTGGTCCCATGGGCTCAAATGCCAATGTCGCGTGGTATCCTGCAGTGAACAACGAGCCATGTCGTGTGGAACATGCTATTTAGACCCCATTACAGACTGGTTGCTACTAGAAAGTCGTAGTAGCCAGTCGGCTTGCTGCATTCTTCGCATCAATACGGTCATCATCTTCTTCGATGCCCTTCTGGCTTCCGGATTTGCTCGTTGCGCGTTTTCGTCCACCTGTTGATTCTCCCTCATTCTCGTCAACTTCGGGTAGGGGTGCCACGATACTGCCACTCATGCTACGATTGAGACCGTCGCCAGGCCGCCGTGGCACTCCTGACCAAGCGTCGCCTTTCGGACCCTGCGAGCTGGCCATAGAAACACGGCGCTGGGCTGGATGTGCCTCGCGGCCGAGTCGTGAAAGACCGCCGCTCCCGTCAATAGCTCGAATATCCGGTCGTACGGATTCCAGAGTTGCAAGCGTGCGGCGCTCTGCCTCGATTTCGCGGACAACGTATTCGCGAATTGCTTGTCGCATGTCCTGCGTAGTCCTGTCGAACCATTTCCGTTGCTCTTGCAGGAGGTTGGCAGTGACGCGTTGAGCCTTGGAAGTCAGGTATTGCTCATGACTCCTAGCCTCATCCAAGGCGGCAATAGCTTCATCAACCTTGTCCCGCTTCACGCTAGAACTGGCTTTCAATCGGTCGGCGGCCGAGAGTTTCGACTTTGTTGCAGATTGCGCTTGCAGCAGTTCGCGGAGGAGAATGTGCCGGTTCGTGAGGGTTTCTTTGGCAATGAAGGCGTCACTGCTGTGGTATTGCAGAGGGTCACCGAGCGTTGTCGCTTCAGCAGTGCCTTGAGCAGCATGGAAGTCACCAGTGGCCTGGATGACCTTGCCGAGTTTCTTGTATGCGTGTGAGAGGCCCACGTGTGTCTCCTGAACGTGTAATGCTGCGAACTTGGCACCAAGGTCAGATTCGGCAACACCGAGATCTACGTTATGTTAGTCGTGGGTGTCATTTGGCATCATCTAGGCGCGGGGCTTACTTCTCCGGTGCTTGACCACCTTTTCCAGCTTCTGCTCCGCCTCCATTGTGCCCAGATAGAAAGCCTTTACGATCGGCCGCGCAGCAGCAAGTTCGGGTGTATCATCCGGTGGCGGCGCAAACTGCTTGATCATCTTTCGGCGCACGCCAGTAGCAGGTTGTTTCCTCCGTACCACCGGGCTGTACCCAAAGTCACTCTCCACGAAAAAGACCATTTCTTCATCGCGTATGAGCATGTCATTACTGCAGACAATGTTCAGCCATCGTTGTATTGACGTCTTCAGGCGTGCCTCGTCCTCGTCGGTGCCGGCACCTGCCGACGTCGTCGCCGGGGGTACTGCAGGCACAATGGCTTCCGGACACGCAGAGATGAGGTGCTCGCCTAGCTTGACGAATTCAGAGTGTAGCCGTCGCACATCGCGGAACTGCGTAGTTCGGAATTTAGGAAGGTTGGTCTGGGAGGCGAGATTAGTAAGGGTGCTATCGCAGAGGCCGCCATGTGCAAGTGCAAGTGCCATGGACAGGATTCGAGGTAGTTGTGCAGCCCGTCAACATTCATGTCAGCAGAGCGCAACATCTACCTTGATCCAGTCTTCAATGTCCACAATCTCGCCCAAGCGTAGCTCAGCTAGATTGATGCTGTCTAGACGTACATAAATGTCGAATCGTAGTATTGGATCCTTTTTGCTGTTCCTTTCCAGTCCTGTGACCTTTGCTTGCAGCTTATATTGCTGCTGCTGTTGTCGCTGCGGCCTGTTCCCGTGATATCGTTGTGGCTGCTGTCCATGGTGCGCTTGTGGTGATCGGGGCGCATCTTGGCCAGACACGTGCGGTTGCTGTTGCTGCTGCTGTTGATGATCGCCATTCTCGGGCGCCGTACCCGGCCGACTCTGCGCATCTTGATCGCCCATGTAGCCGTATTGCTCGCCGCCATCATGGTACGGGGATGCCTGTGGAGGCAGCGGGGACGAGGGGATGTCGCTAGTCGGCGGTTGGCCAAAAGATGTTCGATTGGCTTGCGGCGATGAAGCCCATGGGTCGCGACCGCCGGGATGGTCCGGATCGTGTGCGCTGTAGTCCATGGCGGCGGGGAGGTTTAGTTGAAGCAATGGGACAAGCTGCAACTAGCTGTCGAGTGATGCGATGATGTCGCCGAGCGTCCTGCCTTGCCCTTAACTAGCCGAGCTAGGCAAGGCGCCTACCCTTGACATTATCTGCGTCACGTGCCATCTGCTAAAACCTGTGCACCATCTTTTACCCAATATCCACGCATCAATCTATCGTTGGTATGCGGACCGGATGGGTCGTGTGTGCCCGTACAGTCTTACGGCACAATGTAAAGACTCCACGCCGGTTGCTGTCAACGCAGACACAGCCTCAACATGACCTGCTTTCCAAGGCGACCCGCAACATTGGCATCATCGCCCACATTGATGCAGTGCGTAGAATGCCCCATCAATCATCCAAGCTGCTCGCTGACTCCAGGTAGGGGAAGACAACTACCACGGAGCGTATGCTTTACTACAGCGGCGTGACCAGACGAATAGGAAGTATGTGAACATATTTTCTCAGTACATAGCCATATCTGCAGCCCGCACATCTCCATCTTACAGACTATTCCTGATTCCTTACACTAAGAATCTCTTCTCCGTTTTCTTCATTCATGAGAACGGCTATGATTTTTCTTCCCGTCCAACTTTCCGAACATTGCCTGCATTCCTCCTTGGCCTCTACTGGGCTTTGCAACAGATGCCGGGAATAGGTCTTTTTCACGGCATTTCTAACCTGCGTAGACGTCGATGAGGGCTCAACAGTGACCGACTTCCTCCCCGCTGAGAGAGCGCGCGGCATCACCATCCAATCTGCAGCCATCACATTTCATTGGCCTCCTCTCCCACCGAATGCTCAAACACCGCCTCCCGCACTACAACTACCTGAATCATTTGACAACGTTCTTCGATCTTCGGCATCACATAACATTAATCTTATTGACACGCCCGGCCATGCTGACTTCACCTTCGAGGTACTTCGTTCGCTGCGTGTCCTGGATGGTGCTGTATGTATCCTAGATGGCGTTGCCGGCGTCGAAGCACAGACGGAAAAGGTGTGGACGCAAGCAGGGCATTATCACATCCCAAGGATCATCTTCGTCAACAAATTAGATCGTGTAGGCGCTGCCTTTTCGCGGACTGTCAAAGAAATCGGCACAAGGCTGAATGGATGGCCCGCTGTTTGTCAAATACCGTGGTGGCAAGGTGAAAATGGGGACTTCGTCGGCGTTGGCGATGTCGTCAATTTGCGCGGCATGCTATGGAAGACAGGAGGTGATGGTAGAGATATTCAAGCTTTCAGTCTAGAGGATTTGGAAAAGACCGATGGGAAGTTTGCTGAAGAGATAAAGAAGGCCAGAATTGCGCTCGTCGAGATATTGAGTGAGCATGACGATGTGATGGTCGAGCATTTTCTCGAGCACGACGAGGATCATCTGGCCATTTCAGGAATCCAGATAATGCATTCCCTCCGTCGGGTTGTACTACAAGCACCACAGAAGGTGGTTCCTGTCTTCGCCGGCGCTTCGTTCCGTAACATCGGTGTGCAACCACTTCTCGATTCCGTCGTTGATCTGCTCCCTTCGCCACTCGAACGTCCTGACCCGGAGATCAGTATAGCAGGTCAGCGCCATACTCTCTCGGCACTTCTGGATTCAGCAGCAGCAGTGGCAGCATCAAAGAAGCCTAGTAAATCTGGACGGAAACCACAACAGCAGGACAAGGGCTTGGCAATTGCGGAGGTGAAGAACCTCGTAGCCTGTGCCCTTGCCTTCAAAGTCGTCAACGATCCCAAGAGAGGCGTCTTAGTCTATGTCCGCGTCTACTCCGGTTCTATCGATCGCGGGTCCACATTGTACAACACCAATCTTTCCGTCGCCGAACGCGCACCACGACTGCTCAAGATGTACGCCAATGATGCCGTAGAGGTAGAAAGCATCGGGTCAGGGCAAATTGGTGTCATCACTGGGCTCAAATACGCACGAACAGGAGACACACTCATTGTATACCGTGGGTTGCAGATGAAAGGTACGCCGCCTGGTGCGCTAGATACGTTACAGCTCCGGCCAATTGCCGTTCCTCCACCAGTATTCTTCACAAGCATCGAACCGAACAGTCTCAGTGAGCAGAAGCATGTCCAAGAAAGTCTCGAGATCCTGCTACGAGAAGATCCAAGTCTTCATCTTTCAGTCGATGATGAATCCGGTCAAACACATCTAGCAGGGATGGGCGATCTGCATCTAGAGATAGCGAGGGATCGACTTCTCAATGACTTGAAAGCAAAGGCAAGAATTGGAAAGATTGAAATTGGATACAGAGAGACGATCACGACGACATCGACAGAGCCATTCACGTTTGAGCTCGATAAGCTGATCGCCGGTAAACAGGCCAAAGCTGGTATCACTGTCTTTGTGGAACCTATCGATGACAAGATTATCGTGCCTGGTACCCAACAGGACGAGCAGCAAATACAAGACAGCGTCTTCGAAACTACCTACAAGTTACCAGATAACAACACCCTTCACATCGCACATCCCAATCTCTCTTCACACGACTCGGCAAGCCACAAAAATCATATCCCGCCACACCTCTCTCTCCCAAGCATATTACACTCCATTCAAGCCGGCGCCAGCGCTACACTCGCACGTGGTCCTTTCAATGGCTTCCCCGTCGCAAATACACGAGTCAGTATTCAACTAGACGCGCGCGCTCATCTTTTCCCGGAAACAACCCCGACTGCTATTTCAATGGCAGTCAGGGCTGCCGTTGGAGCTAGTCTGCGTACAGCATGCAATTTAGCCCCCACAGTTCTTCTGGAACCTGTTATGAACGTAACCATCTTCGTCAACGAAAACTCAATGGGCGCTGTTGTACAAGACATCTCTTCTTCGCGTGGCGGTCAAGTACTTTCATTGGACGGTTCCATATCTACTTCTTCTTCCGAAGAGATTGATATACCTCGAATTGATCCAAACTTGATTTACACACCACCTGACCCCTTTAGCTCCGGTACTGGAGATATGCGGGGTGAAGTCGCAGATGGCCAGCGCCAGATTGTGGCGAGGGTACCATTGAAGGAGATGGTCGGCTACTTGAATCATTTACGTGCTTTGACAGGTGGTAGAGGCACTTTTGTGATGAGTGTAGATGGGTTTGAGAAGATGGCGAGCCAAAGGCAGAAGGAGGTCCTTGATGCCATGCGTGAGTTCTAGATAGTGTGAAGTGAGTGTGTCAGACATTTCTTCACAGATGGCAAACCACGGGTTACATAATTGGCAACGAAAGCAAGTGATCTTCGCATGACCAAATGCTTGTGAGTTTATGTATACGCTTATTAATTCACATGTTCCACATGGAACATCTTTGTCCTTCTCCACTCTCTATGTACTTCCTTACCTTGCGCTACGATCGCTGACACAGCCCTGCACCACCTACAAAACTCATCTACATACACGCACTGAGACGGTCATATTTAACAAATATACATTCATAATGCACCATCAACCATGATGCTGTCGGCACGCACATCCAGTACTCTTATCATTACCATCTGTACGATTCTCTCTATCATCGCCCTTTCCATCATTATCTACCTCTTTTTTCCACCCTGGAAGCGTCTCAAACCCCTTCCTTCTTCCCGATTTCCTCACGACCGGGAAACTCACGAACTACAAACTTGGCGGAATGATTTGGAGGCACAGGCCGCTGCATGGGTCGGAGAGAGGGGTGTAGAGGAACGGCTGGAGAGGAACAGTGGGGCAGGTCTAAGTATCAGAGAGGAGAGGGACAGAGAGTGGAGATTAGTGAGGGAGAAAGATGGGCGACTTGTTGGTTGATTGGTACACGCAAATGCATCAACCGCTGGGGGAGGTACAAAGATTTTAGCTATTGATAGTGCACACCAACTGTGTGGCAGTAGACCATAAAGCTTGCGGGCCTGAAAGGAATTTCTTGATACACACTATGATCGGCTGGGATCATGATATGCGACATGATGATGAGTCCGACGCTCAACGTACTCATTACAACTGCATTGCTTCCTCAGATTTATAAGAAGCGCCATTGGCTCACTGGCCATTAGCGCCAAGTGGAATAGATCGAAGTCGAGAGCTTCAGTGTACGTGTATACTATCGGGAGTGAGATATAGATTGGCACGGCTGTAAAGCGTGGGGGAATGAATTCGTTTGTTCTGCCATTTGCCACGATCAAACTGGTAAACGAGTTAAATGTCTAGTACGCTATAGGAAGTGCGTCAGGATTAAGCTCTTGTAATTGAGCGTATACAAGGCGACTATAAGCTTCGGTTAGGATATTCAATTGTGAAGCGATATAAGTCAATGATAATCTGTTCACTGAGAGATAGAGCGCGTTCACAAAAGATAAGATGGCCGGATATTACTCCAGAATCTCAAAGTCAGACACGCGTTCGATACTTTCCTCATCGCAATCTGTTTAGATTCCTTGTTTTACCTCGTCTCTTCTTTTCCTGGTATCTTCTTAGTGATATTATTTACTAAATGGTTTCATATCTCCAGCACACCTTTCAATTCCATCCCAGCTCACTCCTGCGTGTCCAGCCCGTCTCCATCATCAAAGCTCGATTATTTTGCGCCAGTAATAATTTTCCCCTTAAATCAGTGCCAATAAGCTGGTAACACGATTTGAAGATCACCCCAAAAGAGCCCCCTGGATTGGGGAAACGGGCTATCCATGTAGCATACAGCTGCGTCGTATGGCTATACAGAAAACCACCTGCGTCATTACCAGTGCCTATGTACAGTAACATGTAATCCCCGTATTCGTATTGAAGATCAAGCCACATGTCAGGTAGAATTGTTGAAATTGTGCTGTGAGTTCTGCGAGGATGGGAATGAAGGCTAGGTGCCGATTTGCTGTCTTATTGTACATGCATGCATGGTGTTATGTCGAGGTAGCCGCGAACGCAAAGACATGCAGATGTCCTAATTTTGGATGGCAGAGGAAAGTAAAATTGAAAAATGTCTATGGAACAGTTCGCAAATTAGATAAGCGATGATTTTCTAGTTCAATTTATCAATAAACAGCTTGATATACAACGGCTATATACCGTGCTCTCGTCTACCTTCAAATACAAGCTCCTGATACTACCAATATCAATTTCTTTAACAGTTTGCCTCTTCAAACCTTCGCAAAATTCCAGTGTGGTTTACCGACCGGTAATTTTCCCATCACCATCTGTGACTTCTTCATCCCAGTCTCATCACTACCCCCACGTTGACTCTTCTTATACAATCGCAACCAGACTGCATCTGCATTCGCGCATTCCAGCGCTTCACGCACATCCGATCTCGCAAGCACCGGGTCTAGCATATTCATCGTGTCCTCGAACCGTTCTTCCCGGATTGTGACGTACTTGGCGATACTGCATAGTAACCCCACGAGACTGCTCCATATCATACGTGAGGGCGCGTTGACGTAGAGCTCCGGCCTCTCAATGCTCATAGTTTGTTGCGGACGCATAGAGAGCCTTTGCATACCTGTCTCAATGGCATTGATTTTCAAAGTCGACGAGAATTTCGTTTTGGTACTAGCTTTGTTGCGGTTTTCGTGTTGCTTAGTACACTGATACACTTTCTTGACAAGATGCCACGAATCCTCTATCCTGGTCCTCATGAAGTCTCCTGCGTGCTCGCACATGAGTGCTAGTATGTCTAATGCATTTGATACTACGTATGCTTCCGGATCCTGAAGTCGAGGTAACAGCACAGGCCAAAGTGTGTTAATCAGTGTAAGAATGAGTTCTCGTGTTTGGCGAGCGCGGGATGGCTGTGCGAAGTAGAGATAGTAGGGAATTG